CCCAGCATCATTAATACCCATCCCAGCATTCATTGATCCCCATCCCAGCATCATTAATACCCATCCCAGCATCATTGATACCCATCCCAGCATCATTGATACCCATCCCAGCATCATTGATACCCATCCCAGCATTCATTGATCCCCATCCCAGCATTCATTAGTACCTACCAGTGCTCCACTCGTGTGTCACACACTGCTGGGATGGCACAGACAGACTTACTGTAAATTCAGCCCTGCTCTTGAGGAAAAACTCCACCAAGAGCTTCATGAGCTTCAAGTGTCTTTCTTGCAAAAATATTTCTTCTGAAATTTCTACTGAAATTATCAACAATGAAAAATTTACATACCAAACAAGAAAAGCATGGCCATGGCTTAAAATCCATGTAACTTTTAATTCAGAGATTACCAGCATTATTAAACAAACCAACTATAACACATCCAGCAGGTTGCAATGCATACAGTTCACCTAGAAAGCTGTTCCAGTAAAAAACATTAATTTATATAGAGAGCTGAGAGGTACAATTAGCTGTAATTGCAGAACAGCCCTGAACAACCACAGCCAGGTGAAAGTGGTTATTCAGTTTGTCGGTTCACAAATTGGTGTTTTCTAAAATGAAGTGTGTAGTGAAGTTAAAGTAGATGTGGAAGAGGTCAACTGAAGTGACCAAGGCAGTGGAGCATCTAAGTTACATGAGAAATATGAGGAGATGGGAATTTGGCTTGGAGGCTGAGGAGGATACAATCACAAAATCAAGAATCACAAAAGCAACTCTGTTGCAAAAAAACCCCAACCAACCAACCAAAACCCAAACCAAACCAAACCAAAAACAAAAACAAAAGCAAGCCACTGACTTCTGTAAGACAAGAACTAATGGCACTCACTGAAATAAAAAGGCCAGTTTAAAAGTGTTAAAAGTCCTTCTTTACACAGGGCATGGTATCTGTAACTTGTTGCCACAGGTGCTTATGGAGGAAAGACTGTACCAGGAAATTCAAAAGAGGGAAGAAAAACTAGTGGCAATATGAGTGAATAGTAAAGGCTCAGACAAACCCTTGGACATCCTCATCCAATTCCAGCTGCTGCTGCAGAACTGTGAGGAATATTAGCAGATATTAGCCAGGCTGATGTGCTCTTCCTAACTGACATCCCTGACTGCAACTGCCAGAGATAAAATGTTGGGCTCCTACTCCTAGACTGGCCCAAGAAGCTGGTTTTATGCCCTTATGTTCCTTTTGTGTGTTCTAAGAGAAGTCACTGGAGCTGCACAGGTGTTTTTACAGTACTTCATCCAGGGCAAAACTGCAAAGCAAGCAATGGTTTTTGTGGTTCCTTTTTTTGACTATTAAGACAAACTTTATCATCTTGCTCATTTTCCATTGTCCTCTGCAAAAGTATAGTCAGCACTATTACATTTACAGTTACTGAGCAAGCAGCATGAAAGACTGAAAAATAGCATAACACGAGCCAGTCGACCACAAAACAGCTTTGTTTTTAAAGCATATGCAAATCAGTGTCACCCTGCTGATGGTGAACAATTCTAAACCACGTAGATATTAACAATTTTATAGGAAATAATTGCTGTGCCTCTTTTTCAGTCTTTTCTTTCTGTAGAAAAATAGTTTTTCTTCATTTCCCCACCAAGTTAAACCCGTAGTTCAATTAGTGGACTTCAATTAGTTTTATTTTCCTTCCGTTTTCTGAGCCTGTGTGGCACCTTTTGATCCTATTTCCTCAAAAAACATGAAGTCCACAACCCTGAGAGTTGTTTGTGCTCGGGAAAACTGCCGTTGTCATCACTTTCAGTCAAGAGTTGAGGCCTTAAGAAAATGCAGATGTTGCCAAATATGTGACAAATTTGGAAGTACTGGAAGTAAAACAACCTGTTCAACGACATCCATGGCTGAATCTCAAGCTTGACTCAGAATCCTGGCCAGAATTTTCATAGCTAATAGAAGTAGCCAGACACAGATTTCAATCCATTCCTTCATGCAGAGAAAGCAAGCTGTGAAACTTCAGCTGACATCCAGATGTCCTCTAAATTGTGCAGCTTTGATTCAAATTTGTTTCCAGCATAATACTGGGAGAGAGAGGGAAAGAGGAATATTTGACGTCAGCTATGAAGGCAAACAGTTTGGATACTCCTGTCATTTGGTAGATGAAGGAGGTTCTAGCTCTCCTTGTTTGAGTGTGTTTCAGTGTTTTCCAGGAGCTTCCCAACAATCCAAGGCACTTGTCACAGAATCAGACTTAGTGTAACACTGGATGTTCCTGGAGCTCATCACCTCCATGGGTTGTCACTTTTCTGTGGCAGTGGTGGGGTGGTGGAATTCCTTTCCCTCCTCTTCCACGGGAACCATTACATCATTCCCTGGAAAGGACTCTGTTTCCTGCTCTGGGTAGTGCATTCCCAGTTCCTCTTCCATGGTTTCCTGGGCGTCAGTGTTGCTTTCACACCCTCTGGCAGCGCAGTTTTTGCCACCGGCCACTTCTGCAATGGACCCCACGATAACAGTGTCGGCCTTCATGATATAGAGCTTTTCTGAGAAAGGAAAAAAGTAGTGCTGAGGGTAGTGAACAATCACTGCTGGCCCCAGAGATGGCTCCTTTTCATGCAACATTTTTTATTAGGACTCTGGGCATTCCAGATCAAGTAGATTGAGCTTCCATGGGATGAAGCCACTGAGCTAGGACTACAGGAGAAGGACAAAGCAGAAAAGGCAGAAGATTCTCACAAAAGTCTGCTAGAAGAAGCAATTAGTTGAGACCTAGATATAGAGAATCCAAGGTTTATTCTCTGCTGTTTCAAGAAACACCACCTGCATTGAAAGCAGCCTTTGGGCAGGGATCAGCACTGTACAGAAATTCTGGGGTCTTAAGACCAGCAAAGAAATTACATTCTTTCCAGCTGAGAATAAACTGTAAAATTTTCTGGGATAGATTTGAACTTTGTGCCCAACTTATTATACATACTCCTTCACAAAAAGGTAAATAAGACCTTTGCAATGGCTTGGACCACTGCACTTAATTCAGAAGGATGCTGCAGGTCAGACACTGCAGGTCACAATTGCTTGGAGGTATTTGGATATGGTGAGTCAAATCATCACATTCATCCCAATCCATCACTCACAGTAAAAACAGAAACCTCATTTCGTAAGGAAAGGTCAGCTCTTGTAATATGAAAAATAACACTTTCAAATAACCTCAAAATTGGGTTTGGAAACATTGCCACAATGTCTCAGGTAACAATTCTCCCCCTCAGTGAGCTCCCTTGCATGGCTTTATCTCCCACCCTGTGCCATGGTCAAAGACTTCATGGGAAATACATGGGAGACACATTTCCAGCTATTAATGTGAAACCCAGAGAAGCAAATGGTAGTTTAGTCATGTGAACTACCACTCCCACTCAGAACATCATTTCCCAGCTGATATATTTTTTGTTTTCAGATTTCTTCTGTAAATTTACATCTTCTGGAATGAATAGGAGGAAGAAGGGAATTTTATGCCAGATTCATAAGTGACTAAGGCAAACACGAAAATAGAAAAGTGTTATATTCAGATGAATAGGTATTTGTGTGTCAAAGATTCTGGAGATTCAACTCCAGTCTTTATTAGGAGATTTGAACACTTTGCAGCTTATTAGTAATCTTGGAATGACATTATGTGACATGGTTGAAAAACTGGAAAAACAAGAGCGAAGGGGAAAAAAAAGCAAGACTCACCAATTCTGTTGTTTGTGTGGTCTCTGACTCGAGAATCCACAGGACAATCTGGGCCACTCCCACTGCTGGGTGTCACCTCAGCCACACCCCGATGGGGACTCTGTGTTTTTTCTGTGCTGGAGACCAAGTTATTGTTGGTTTCCAAAGGGAGGGTTCTGCCAATTAATTCCTCTTCTGGCCCACTCCCAGTGGTCAGGGGGAGCTTCTGCCAATACAAACAGAGAGCAAAAGTGGGGTGGATGTAAAAACACTGTGAAGATGGCAAGGATTCTGCAGAACCCTTCCAGGGCAGCCAGGACAGCAGGATGTACCTCACAGCACCACTGTCACAGGGAGGGAAGAATTCCAAAGTGCGTGACAGGTATAGGAACTTAAATTTCTTTGAAGTAGGTTCCTGCATCACTTAAGCCTATATTTAAAAAACAGCATTTCTAAGCTAAATTTACAGATTTTTGATGACATTTGCAAGAATGTCCATCATCTCCACTGAAGAAAATATATGGTTTAGCTACCTCTTAGGTTTTGCAAAGATCTACCACGCTCCCATGGAAGAACAGAACGAGCCAGAGGTTGAACTGGTTTAACTTCAGAATGGAATTGCCTCAGCAGAACCTCAGGTAGAACTAACAAGCTCAGACTACCTATTAGGTGAGGAATTAATTACAAACAGTTCTTTAAAAGAGGAGCCAGAATCTGAGAGAGGTCAAAGGTTCCTAGCTCTGTGTTTCCACAAGGTTGGGAAAGAAAAAAAAACAAACCCCACAGAAAACATTGTAAAGTTTTGATATATGCAGTTTAAAATTCTTGCTCATGTCTGACTCAGGAAGCAAGAGTGGAAACTTCTCACAATTCAAGAATTAGCAATGACACTCTGAAATTATAATAGATTGTTGCCACCAGAGTCATTGGAAAAATTAATATTTGACAGACAAAGTAGGGACTGACAGACAAATTTCTCCCAGAATGAAGAAAGGGCATGTTCAGCCTGTGATTTTGGATCCTGTCCCATGGAATGCACCATTAATGGCATGAGACCAAACCAAATACTCCCCTCACAAGCAAGATTGGCAGCATCATGTTATTTAACAACCCATTAAACCCAGCCCAAGACACAAAAGTAGCAAGTCCTAGTACAGCTCGTTGCTGCAGCCTGATGATCACAGCTTGTAGAGGAAAGTCCAAGCAAAAACTCTGGCACTCTGTGACAGGACATTTAAAAGTAACACTATTTGCATTGGCCTGGAAAGGATCTGGTTTGGAATATTGTTCACACTTACTGCACATTTGTCCCCTAGGTCAGAACCTGCAATGGAGAGAGGAAAAATTACCAGAAGAAAATTCACACAGTCACAAGAATGTTAATATTTGCTCTGAAAGGCCACCTGGCCCTGCCCAAAACCACCCCACTGCCCAACCCACCTGCACCACGGTTTTCCTGACACTGAGGGCACCCTCAAATGACACAGCTGAGGTGACCCAGCAAAGTGTTGCTGCCAAGACTGTGAGATCCTGCTCTGCCCAAAGCCCTTTGCATCTCTCTCCCCACACCACAACTGGAATTCTTCTGATGAAATGATGAACTGATGAAACTTGTTGAGATAAGCACAAGATAGGTTTATTAAAAAAAAAAAAGTTAATAACTTTCTACTGGATTAACAAGCTAGATCAGTTCATCGTGTGGTCAGATGAATATTAAGGGGATGGGATTTTATGTGTAATTTCATTAGATGATTCCAGGGAATGCTGGGGAAAGAAGAAAGGTGAGAAGAGGGAGTATACAACATCCTGCAGCACTGTGAAGCATGATGAGCTCAGACCTACTATCTAATTCCACTCTGATGTGCAACTACCTTTATTTTCAGTGCATCAGCTCGGAAATGCTGCACAGTAACAGTTTTTTTGTGTGTAATGCAAGTGTGGGAGAAAAAAAAATCCATTTTGAGAAAATTAAGCTGCTTTAAATCATATTCCTGAATAAATGAGTATTAAAAGCTCTGATTTGTGGTGATTGGGAGAATCTATAACACAACAGAATAGATCTCTCAATGGGCTAGATTGGGATGATGAGAGGGGATCAGCTCACTGGACAAACTGTGTGCTTTGGGGGATCTGTACAGGCTTCTATGACTAACACACAGTTTTTTGTCTTTTTTTTATTGTCCAGAAATTAATTGACTGCTTTCCTGCACTGACACATCACCCAACCTTTGTTCTTTGTGTGAGAACAAAGTGCCATCTGGTGGCACCTGGTGACATCTGGACAGCGCTGGCCTTGTGCATGGCAGCAGAGACAGAGGTGTGACGTGAAAAACCCCCACTTTTTAAATTAAAATTCTATAAAATAAAGCTCCATATTAAAACTCTCCACTTATTCTTCAGAGTGCTGGTCCCTCAGTCACTCACCTGGCGGTTTGAGGCCGTATTTGTGTGCGATGACAGAATGCAGATGGGCTGAGAAAAGAAACCTTCCATTTAGTCAAACTCAGGGTGGAGCCTGCAGGCTCTAACAGCTCTGCCACACCCACAGATCTACAACCAACCTACAACGTGCACATCCTGCTTTCTATAAAGAGGGAATGTGGTTCCACAGGCACACCCCACACAGTTGACAGGTGAAGCTACAGAGAGTCAGTGTCAGTAAAAATCACTCTTCCTCTCATGCTCAAAGCCCATCCCTGTTCCCAGAACCAACAAATACTCACACAACACTTCAGGTATCATTTAATATCAGTGTCTGTGCTGAGAGAACAAACAGCTGGTTACCCTTTCCCTGCCCTCCATAAACTCACAGCTGCTTCAGTATTTCATATTCCTCTTGCCTAAAACCCTTATCTGGCCTGCCTTCACCAGGCTGTAGTGAACATCCTCTTCCCCAGGGACCTCCATAAAATTCTGGGATATTTGAGTTCCCCTTTAGCTTATACTGGGAGATCAAACAGCATCCCAGGTATCAGAGCTTTAAAAACTCACGCTTTCCTTTGAGGACGAGGATCCGCTTCTTGCAAACCTTCCATTTCCAAAAAAACAGCATGGCCCCAAGGAGCACTATCACACAGAGAACCACTGCCCAAAGCACTACACCTGCAGCACAGAAAGGGGGCACAGGAAAGGTTAAGGAAAGGCAGAGGAGGAGCTCTGAGTAGATCCATGTATGTGGACACAGACCCATGGACATCATTTCACAAGTCGTAGGGGATTTGCAGGAAGCTCCCACATAAAAAGTGTGTTTACCAAAGATATCTCCCAATAAAACATGAATTTTAATAAAACAGAGTAACTGCTTTGTCTTTGTTACCTCCCATTGTCATCTCCCCCTTGGCTGAGGTGGGAAAAGTGCCAGTCAGATCTTTCTCCTCAGGAGCTGAACTGGGGTTTTCAGTTGTCGTGGCACTTAGAAGGTCACCACTAGCAATGGTCACCAGGCTCTCCTCAAGGCTCCTTGGGTCAGAGTGATTTGTTTCATTGCTGAATCTCGTGGACAAAGGGCTTTGGGTGAGATAGGTGTGCGATTGGTCCAGGCAAACCTGATCATGTGTGGCATTTCCTTGGCTTAGTGCCACTTTGTTTAACTTGGCACAGCTGGGAATGAAAGAGAACGGGTGTCAGTGCTACAGAAACTGCCATGGTACAAGAGAGGAGCATTTTCCATGTGACAAACATCCCTTTGGTCATTTTTGTACCACCTTCAATTATTGCTTTCAGTGTCAAAGCCATTAACCTTCCTCTCACCCCAGTGGCATTGATTCTTGACCTGGGTGGAAACCTGACACTCACACAGGGGTAAAATTCCACTGTAAACTAAAAAAAGGCAAGAGGGATTCCTTCCTTCCCTCCCTTCACTCCAGGAGCTGTGCAACAGCTACAGAGAAAGGCTTTCTAACCTCTGCTCCTGGCCCCAAAGCTATTCCAGTGCCTCTAAGATAAATTTGTATACTTTGCACCAGGAGTGACGTGTCCCATTTCATCCTTTATTAATTAATCAGTCAGTCACGTTAAAGAACCAGGGACTTACTCCGTGTGGGGCTTGCAGCTGTCAGTGCTGGAGCTTTGGTCAGAGAAGGTCCCAGCAGGGCACTCTTCACAAGTGACATCCCGTGTTGAGGTGCCTGAATAAAAACAATGGCTGGGGACTGACCAACCAAAACACACCAGGTCAAGGCCCACGGCCAAGAGCGGGAAAGGTGAAGTGGAATTCCTACCTCTGACTCGGACCCCAAAGCCAGGCTGGCAGGTGGTGTGGGGCCGGCACCGGGCGCAGGTGTAAGGGAGGAGGGGTTCTTGGCAGAACAGGCCCGGCCTGCACTCGCAGACACTGCTGGAGTTGAAGGAGCAGGGCTCCTTCTCCACAAGGTCGAGTTCTGGGGGCAAGAAACAGAGGCAGTGACAAAGGATCACCCTGCAAGGGAAATGCAAAAGGGGGCCGAAGCTGAGCGACAGCAGCTCAAAGGCTCAGGAGGCAGAACAAGGTGCCGGCGCTCCTCGTGATCCCAGAATGGTTTGGGTTGAAGGGACCTTAAAGCTCATCTCATTCCAGCCCCCCGTCATCCCATCCACTTCCACTAGCCCAGGTTGCTCCAAGCCCTGTCCAACCTGGCCTTGGACACTCTCAGGGATGGGGCAGCCACAGCTTCTCTGGTCAACCTGTGCCAGGGCCTCCCCACCCTCACAGGGAAGAATTCCTTGCCATTATCTAATCTAAACCTACTCTCTGTCAGTTTAAAGCCACACGATGGCAACTTAAGTCATGAATAATTGGAGAAACCTTTAGACAGTGGCTTGTAATATAAGACAAAGTAGAATCCAGATTTGGATAGCACTGGAGAAGAGAGTTTTTAGGTAGTCCCCAGGTCACACAGGAAGCCACACTGATAATGTGCCAAGGTATCATTCTGCTCTCTAAATCAGTAACCAAGGATGGACAATTCTGCTGCTGGAAATTCTAAATGCATAAAATACAAGCAAAGTGCAAATAAAATACATAGAGGGAATATAATTGTGAGGTATGTGTTGGGGAAAGCAAACCTGTTTTGCATAAGACACAGGCATCACATCGTAGCTTCGAGACTTCTGTGTTCACAAATTGCCCAGGCCCACACCTCATGCAGTCTGCAGCTGGGTTCTCAGGACAAGCTTTCTTTTTAACAGAGCCTGGAGGAAAAAAAAAATAAATCAACAAATCAAAATATGCAGGACACCTGTTCAGAATAATGGGAGACAACCACCCTGAAGTGTCCTGTGTGCTCCTTTACCTGTTAGACACACTGCCACAGTCATTTGGTTTCTCTGTTTTTGCCCTTCCCATTTGAGCATGAAGGGCTCACAGCTGTCCTGAGGTGGAACATTATCCCAGTTGGAATAGGCTGCTGCAGAATGGGCACGTGGCAACTCATTTGCTGACAGAAAAGACCACCAAGTCTGCAGTGAGGGCAATTGTCCTGCCATTCCTGAGTTCCCAGGTGATTGGTTTTCATGGTTTCCTCTTCAATTAAAAGGACTTCTAGAAAAGCTGCTCTTCCTCTGCAGTGAGCAGCTGAGTTTGTAGCAGATATGAACAGGTTATTGCTTGGAGGAGTAGTGGAAGATTAAAATGAAAAAGGATTCTTATAACTTTTATTGTGGAGAGGATGTGAGGAGATGTCCAGGACTGACATTGAGGATGCAGCCAAGGAATGAGTGACAAGAATCAGCAGAGGTGAAATGATGGATACTGGTGTAAATTGATGTAAATCAGATCTCTGCTTCTCACAAACCTCACTATGACATCTGTCATGACAGGAGCTTTGGCAAAGTATGGTTTTGAAGGAGAAAAGAGCTTTCCTTGGGACTGTCTCTGAGTCACAAGCCCCCTCTTTTCTTATTTTCTCCGTCCCTTGCTCTTGTTTACCTGTACAACTTCTGAAGGAAAGTGTGGCCAGCAGTACAGGATGTCCCAGTGGGAATCCTGATGGAACTGCACAAGAATGCTGGCAATCAAACACTAAACCCCTCTGTACTGTCAGAGCTCAAATAAATGTCAGAAATTTCCTTTAAGAAAAACAAAAGAAAAAGAACAGATTTCTGAGAGAAGATACTGATGGTGGTGAAGCACCACAAAATGCCCCACCCACCGAGGGGTTTTTTGGCCAATAGGGGCAGTTTCAGACATTTCCAGAGCTCTTGTCTCACCAAGGTGTTTCCTGCTCTGACCTCATGTGCCTTTGAGTCACAACCAGCTTCTAGCAAAGCTCTCAGTGTCCCCAGACAGGGGCTGTTCCCTTCCTCCCTCACGTGAGACACTTTCTAAACTGTTGTGACTGTGAGAATAATATCAGATTTTCCAGACCTTCATTTTGTACTTTTTGTCTGTGAGCAGAAACTCACCGAGTCTAATTTCACTGTGCTATTTCACACCCTGAGGGAAGCTGAAATGAATTCTGCCTATTTCTGGCTGCTTCAGTGTCCAGTGAAGTGATAAAAAGCACATAAAAATTCTGCCAAGATCTCTAGTTTGCAATTTGTGCGTTGTTTGCATGCACAGGAGCAGGACAGTGGAGAGCAGATTCACATCTAGATTCAATCAGACAGTGATTCATGAAATTGCACTTTTTTTCAGGGACAAAACGCAATTCTGCAGATACACAGAGTTCCTACTGTCTCTCCAAGAAAGACTCCATGTAAATTTGATTATTTTATAAACATACTGACCTGAGGGACACTGGTAACAGCAGCTTTGTGAAGTTTCATCATAGAACCAATTCCCACGTGTGTCACAGGAATGAGATGGGGTTAATGATGTCTAGAAAGTGAGACAGGCAAGAGACACAATCAGAAAACAACCAATTCTCTACTAGGGCAGATCCCAATACCTGTCCCAAGTGATGGCAGCTGCAGATGGTAAGGAAAAGCCCACAGCTTTTTGAAACTTCAAGTATCCCCAAAGCAACTAAATTAATGTCTGCATCTCCTTTATAAATCTTGCAGCAGTTAGAAAAAAAAAAAAGATGAAAAAAAAAGATAAAAATCATTGTCCCAAAATGGTCCCATGTTAATTTGAGATAAGGATTTTTTAGGGAAAAGAAAAACAATCCTTAACCTCTGTAACAGATTTCCAGCTCCGTGTGCAGTGGAGTAAAAGGTGGTGCCATATTCAGCATCATCTGAACCCAGTCAGATGGGCTGTAATGCACAGAGGTAACTCTTGGCAGCAAACAGGTTTTTGTGTTATTCATGCAGTCATAATGCTTGAATTTAGCAACCTAAGGATGTGTTTATTATAAACCAATTAACTGGTTTACTTATCATTTAGGGGCAAATCTTACACTGAGAACACAAGAGGGATTTGCCTTGGAAAGAATGCTGCAAATGTTCTCACAATGAAGCTCTTATTCAAATAACTCATCCCACTTCTGTTGTGAGTGAAGGTTTTCAGAAATAACCTTTCGTTACTACATAACCGATACTGGTTTAGTTAAAAAAAACCCACCACACAGTAGTTCTAATATTGGCTTAGAAAATGAGACTCGGCTACGAATTGGAACAAGAAACATTATAACAAGACTTTGTTTTTGTATGGCTGGGCCACTACATGCTCTGGGAAATTACGGTGCCACAAGTGTTCTGATGAGAAAATCTGATTTTTGAATTTGGCATCTCCCTTAATAATCCCCTAAAACTCTTATTATCTGAATTTCATTTTCACTTTTTGCTAGAAGGCATAAACAGCGATTTTTTTGGTGAAGAATCAATCAGCAGATTCCCCTGAGATTTTCCGACACGATTCTGGTAGAGCAGTTAAATATTTCAGAAACTCTCCATCTCACTTTCTGCTGATGAATTCCCCACTGGGCTTTGAAATAAAACCTGCTGCCTTTGTACACTGTGCAGAATCTCACCACCTAACTCACTTCACAGCCTTAGTCTGTTTAACACACAGAAAACACAGAAATTATTTAACTTCCATCAGAAAACAGGAACTTTCAGTCAAGGAGGAAATGAACAGAAGGGCAAGAAATAGAAACACGTTGAAACCATTAAATTTCATTGAGCTCCACCAGTAACAGAACTGAGAATGTGACACATCTCTGCATCACCCCTGGGCCAGAACCTCCCTACAAGTATTTTTCCTGTCTGACTGCAGAGGAAGAGCAGAAGGCTCTGCCTGCTCAGCCTGACTCAGATCTCACTTCCACACGTGCACCCGGTGTTTTCCTGTTCTGAAGAGGAAGCCCCAGACTGCAGGAAAGGGAAGTGGGATCTCCTCACTTCTGTGTGCAGCTCCAGCCTGGCCAGGCAGCCACTGAGCCCGAAGTGAGCGACACCAAACCACCAGTCACCACACAAGGGGTCATTCCTGAGCCACCACGGTGATGTGGAGTGAATTAACTGGTTTCAGAAAGAAAATTTAAGAAGCTACAGCATCCTGGCTGTAGCTAATCAGCCTGGATTAGATTCTCTGTAAGACCTGTGGGAAGTCACCACGAACACATGATTTTCTCTTCCCGGGCAACCAACTCTGGCTGCAAATGCAGCTGAATTTTAAATCAGGGTGGGAACAAAATTCTTGAATTATTTCTGCAGCACAGAAGCTTACAGTGTATCTGTGTGTTTCTGGGTTTAAATAAAGGAAGGGTGCCTGTGTAAAAGTATGAGGGAAGGGCAGCTCTTAAAAAAGTAACTTGTTCTAAAATATGGAAATTAGGAGTTCAAGGTTAGATTCTGCTCCTGGATACAGCAGTGCACATTCTGATTATGAATTTGACCTGATGCCAGTGCAGTGATAAATTACTGCAAGAACTAGATATGGATACCACACAATTTATGAAAATATACATAAGAAAGAGAGTACTGAACCTTCTTTCCCCCCTCTCCACAGGAGGGCAGCTCTACCCTACAGCCACATTATACACATCATCCACACCTCCCCAGCAAATGCTGCTCTCAGGTATCCAGCACAGCCTTGTACTGTTCACTGAGCTGTGAAAAGAATTCACTTTAACAGATCATGGCAGGATTTCTGTGGCTGACAAACCACTTTCTGAAGGCACCACCACTTCTAATCCAAGTTACCTGCAAAATGGCTTTGAGGTTGCCCCCTGTTCAGTAGGGGTGTTTCATGAGTATAAAAATTAGCACAGACCCTTTCAGTGATAAATCACACACATATCAATGCTCAGCCTCAGTCACCATGTCTTGTCAGCTTTTCCCTTCTAAATCCTAAAGCTGTTTGACTCCTGCCCTGGGTGTGACAGGTCTCTGTCAGCTATGATGGGAAACCTCAGAGCCATTATTTCTGCATCTGTGTCCCGTGTCAGAGTAGGTTTGACCTGGGTTGGACAGGAGGACACAGTGCAGAGGTGATGCTGCTTTTTGCCAGCTGCAGGGGAACAGATAAATGTGTGAGCTGAGAGGAAGGGGAGCTGGAGCAGCAAACAATCCCCAGTGCAGCAGAGAACTTCTCACCACAAAATTAATCTGTCCACACCTTTTGAACAGATTTGAACAAGTCACGAGTCTCTGTCAGATTAGTAATTTGCATCTGGTTTTGCTCTAAGACAAGGAATTCTTCAATTGGATTCAGTGTGCTGTTCAACTGGAGCAAGATGGAAACTGAATCTCACTAATTTTTCCTGCATGCTCTTCAAATAAAAGTTTGGGATTTAGGAGGAGCTGGAATACATGTGGTGAAAGGAAAGACCACAATTGCTATCCTACTTGGACTGCTCTGTGTCAGCATCCCCAGGGATCCCATGGTTTAGTGCTTTCAGTGACCTAACAGGCCAGCTATTTTTTTTCTTTTCTAAATGTGTTGCAGATCAAGGCCCAATTAAATAGAGCAGACATATTAGATACAAAGCATTTGGGTTTTTCAGTGCTTTCTTGGGAGACTTTGTTTTAGAAAGTAGGCTTTTTGTAGCTCTTCTCACTTTCCTTGGTTCTACAAACATGTTTGCTATTCCAAATTAAATAATGGCAGTTGTTTAGATGGTGCTGAATTCAGTGGGCTACTCTGCAATTCAGTCAGGACAAGGTTTGACTCATTTATTTATGGCCTTTTGAGCTCACAGAGAAAAAGTGATGGTGAGGCAGAGCACAAAATTTGCTACAAATGAGCTGTAAGTCAGGAAGAAAGCACATTACAGTAAAAAAAAGATTTCTACCAGCAGTGGCTATTCTAGAACTGACTAATACTGCAGCAAAACAGTTAACTGCCTGTCAAGCTTCTAGCCAAATTCTGACAGTACTGAAGAAGATGGTAATCTAAGGCTTCAAGTTGTCAAGCTCCATCTGTTTGATAATAAAGACATTATCGACAAATGAGAGTTCACTGAATATAAAAAGAAACAAAACCCAAGCTGTGGGCTTAAGTAAGGTGGAACATGGTTTAAAAATATGACCAGTAAGCTGTTACTAGCTCACATGAAATAGCATCACCTGTACTCCAGTATCAGTAAAAGCAGGTATTTCTGTGATTGAGGCAATGCAGAAGGACAGTAAAAGCCAGTTGCTTGTCTCAGCTGATGATTTTGCAGTGAGTCTGCATGTTGACAATGACTATCAAAAAACCCAGATTTTCTCACAGCTCCTTTCGTTTTGTGAACAAAACACCAAAAGTGACATCGACTAGCAAAAATATCATCCTTTTTTTTTTTCCTTTTTCCTTTCTCCTAAAGCAGTTTGCATTCAGGAGGCCAGACAAGTTTATCTGAATGCCCTCCCAAGTACTCCCCAGGTGAGCAAGGACTACAGACTCCAATCCCTCTGTACTTCAGGAAGGAGACAGTGGCAGGACAGATAAGGAGGGGAAAGTAGAGCAAACTTGCCACGTGGGAGGGGAATTTACAGCTAAAGACACAAGAGCAAACTCCTACTCTTACCAAAAGAGCCAAGAGGACCTTTTTCAAATGCCAGTGAAGAAGATGCAGGACTTGGTTATTTTCAAAGATCTAATTGGAGTCAATGTCTTGTAAAATACCTCCTGGCAGCCCAAGTGATGTTTTATTATTCAGACAGATGGGTCTCTTGGGTTAATATATATTCAAATTTCCCCAGCAAGGGAAAACGGCCCATTTCAGGATCCAGCACAGAGGGCAATTACTCACCTACTTAACTGTACCTGTGCAGAGAGTCTCTGTGACTGACCTTTGTTTTTTTTAAGGTGCATGCCTCGGTGTTGGCCAGGGAAATTACCTGGATTTATGCCAGGTGCTGAGGGCTCGTTGCCAGGTGACCCACGGGAGGAGGGGGGTGAGTGGCAGAGCTGGGGTGGCAGCAAAGCCACAGGAGCTGATACGATCTGAGCAGGGAGCTGGTGTGCAACTACAGCATCACTGAGTGCAGCTGCAGGGCCGTGTCTATTTTAAGTGATTTTGATTCAGAAAGAATAGTGGATTCATGAGGAAGTCAGAGTCGGGGGGGGGGGGTGTGTAAAGAGGAAGGTCTGTTATGGTTTTGCCTCTACACCTTTCAATTTGCCTTTCCTGACTCGCCTCAGCAGAGTGAGCAGCAGCCTCTGAACGAAGCTCTGCAAGGAATGTGCCTTTCACAGGGCACACAGGCAGAAATAAAAGCCCCCCCCGCCCCAAGCAAACCTTCCTCCCTCCCTCCCTCCCCAGCTGCGATGTGCCTGGAGCTGCAGGAACTCCAGCAGTGCCAACATGGGGATGCAGATCCCAGCTCGTACCCCCTGCTCCTGCCTGCAGAGTTCCCAGAGAGGGCAAACTCTCCTGGCTGCTCTGCTTTATGCCTTTATCTCCTGACAGCTCTGCTTTATGCCTTTATCCCCCCACGTTGCACAAACCCCGTGTTTGTGGACACCCACTCTCCAGCCCCCAGCCCTGCCCCCTGACCTCATCAGTCCTGAGGGGCTGCAGGATCCTGGTGCCTCCCTGCCTTACCTGCAGGGATGTCTGGATGTCCTGGAGAAGCAGCAGGAGCTGCAGTGCCAGTGCCAGGCTGCAGGCAGCCATCTGAGGTGGTGTTAGATATCCCTGGCTCCCAGCATTGCAGGTGGCACAGCCAGGTTGCTCCTTCTGGAAGCTGAGATCCTTCCAGGCTCCAGCCCAGCCTTGCTCCGTGTCTGTTCATTCAGCCCAGGGCCATTCCAGCTGTTCAAGACAAGCAAGGGACAGGCTTTGAGACTCGAGCGAGGTGAGAAAACAATTTAGGAAGGAGGGAGAGGGGGGAGCTGCCCCCAGAAGAAACCTAAAAAAAGAACAAAACCAAACCGCCTCAGCGCCGGGTCCCGGCGCTGTCGGGTGTCTGTGGGTCGGGTGTGAGCACCCAGGTTGCACCCCGAGGCTCAGGGCTGGCTGTGCCGGCGCCTCCTGAGTCATCTGGGCTGCCCTCAGAGAGCACTTCACCAACCCAAAGTCTGGCCCAGGCACGAGGCCAAGCCCTGCCCCATCCAGCCGCCAGTTTTTCGAGAGCCGCGACCGAGCCCCGGGAGAGTTCCCAGTAAGAAACACTCAGTTTTTTCAATACAGTCGTTTTGCTCCTGTTTGCGTGAGTGGGTGAAGACTCACAACCAGCCAGGGTGACTCCACCAAGGTTTAGGCTTTACGTATTGCCACATGTTGCACATGTTGCCACTTAAACACCAACATGTCACAGACCACCCCCTTGAGAATCCTTCCCTTTCCTCCAATCCCACTGGAAATAAATTCCTCTGGCTGACAGTCATCCCTAGGTTTGCTACTCACCATTTTGCTCACTTTCATTTGTCACTCTGGATGGTTTGTGCTCCAGTGCCTGGAAAGATTTCAGTTGATTGAATGTGTCATGAAGCCTTCTTATCTGCCCTAGGAGTTTTGTCAGAAGTGAAGGTTAGCCACTTCAAAAAGAGCAGAGTGCCTTGAAAACCTCTCTGAGGTACACAGGAAAATCATGACAATTTGAATTCTCACACCTCTGGGCTCGGTTTTAATTTTTTTGTTGTTGCTTCTCACCCTTATCAGCAAAAAGAAAACCGAAAGAAATGAGGGAAGATTGAAAGTTGGACAAATAATTATTTTACTAAAGACCCACAGCTACCCCACTGCCTCACAGATGAGCACCAGAGGTGAGCATTTCACAGGGACCCTGTGGAAATATCTTCTGTAACTCACAGCTGTAACTCATCTTTTTGACAAACTACCTGGATTTTTTTCTCCAGAATGCCACTGTATAAACCCCAGGCATTTTCTGCACATTGCATGGAGTGTATTTGACATGTAACTCCACTCTCCTCCCTTCCCTCTGTCAGGTAATGCTCAGTTTCTAAGCTCTCTTAGCTATAAAAGCTGTTGGGGTAGATATGCCTTGAAGGCCTAGAGGCAACTAAGTATTTGAATGTCAGAGTATCACATTCTTGTTTTTCCCAATTAAATAATGGGCTAGAAAACACCTTAATCTTCTGTAACAATATGCCATTAAGCAATTCTCCCAATCTATAAATACAGTTTCAAATGACACAATGGTCAGGGCAATTGGTGAGCTCTGTTTGTCTTTTTTTTTCTCTCCTCTCTGAGTATTTTTTCTCTGCTCAGCCCCTATCTAAGCTCTTCTAGCAAAAGGACAGGCACCAGCACAAGAGACAGCCTGCAAGGTTTAAGTTCCACTGCTGAGGTCAGAGTATCTGATACAAAAAGTAAGTATGTGAGTACAAAAAAAACTGTGTGTGAAAGACTTTCCCAGAACTGGCAACAAGGAGAGTTTTCTGGCCCGTTTTCCAGATAAAGTGAGACTTGAAACAAGCACACTGAGCATTTTGTATATGTACATATATGTATATCAGCTCCTTTTTAATGAATGGTGTCAATAATTTTTGAACACACTGGATAACTTCAATCAAATTTGGCTGAGGAGGGGGTGCCATTAAGATTTACAAGGTTTCACGGGAGGAAATGGCTTGGATGGAGGGACAAGGTGCTCATGACAAGCTCCCTGAGGGAGAGGCTGCAGGAGGAGATCAGTCCTCCTCAGAAGAAAGAATCCACTCACACGTCCAAAGTGAAACCAGGCTTCCAGCTGCCATTTTTCCTTGAACTTCATTCTTGATTGAACCAGATATTTGAAAGGATGGGAAGTGGAAAGGGCTTATTGTTGCTGCTGTTTTTTTCAGAAAGGCTGGTACCTCACACAGTGCTGTCTCAGGTCTGTAACAAAAGAACAGCAATGAAGAGGTTGTTTCACGGGAACATCCCAGCCTGCACTTCCAGCTGAATGCATTAATGTCAGACTTTGCGTGTTTTGATTTGAAATACAACAAAAGGGGCTTTCCAAAGGAAGCTCTATTAGTAACTGGAAGAAGCACCTCCAGTTTATAACAAGCCCACGCTGCTGCTCTCCACACGTCGGCTGCGTTTCCTAGAAGATAGTCCTCTGTGTTCATGTGAAAACAAAAGAAGTGCAGAACAAACAGAAGCAAACAAACAACCCCTATTTCTCTGGTCTTCCATCAGGGGACAACATCTATCAGAGAAAAGGGGAAGCCCCTCATGAGCATGATATTATTATATATAATGGTAATTTGATTGCACGCATCTGTTAATATCTGAATCCCTTTTTGCTTTGGGTGTTAAAAGGTAGCAATGCCCCAAGATAAGGTTCCTTGGTAGTTTGTATTTTAACTTATTTAGTCCATGCCAAGCTTAGGTGTTTTCTGCATAGGGTATCTGATCAGTGTGAGCTGCTTGGAGCTGAGAGGGATCAGAGAAGGTCCTGTCAGCAGTTGTTCAAATGTCACTTGATTCCTAGAGCAAGAGGATGCTGAGACCCAACAAAGCCACGAGGGAAAGTCTCCACCACGTGCCCAAAGCATCCCTTCAGCACTGCCTATTCACTGAACAGGGAGAGCCCAGCAAAGGAAGCAGCCATGGGATACTCCAGAAGCAGCACTGGAACACATGTGCTCAAGCAAAAGTACTCACGCCACTTTCTAATTTTGAAGTGGCTGATTTTAGTCTCATGTTGTACTTTTAGCATGGTTTCTCCTGGGTTTAAATATGTATGTTCAGTTAATATGGGTCCAGCTGTATCAGAGGAAAAACACACAGGGAGAAGTGTCATCTCTAAATCCTTGTCCAACAGATAAAAGAGACCATGAAGTTCGAAAGGACATGTATTAAAACACCTTGTCTAAAATCTGTATTTCAGTGTCTGTCAGTGTTGCTATTTGGAGCATTGCAGTAAGCTGAGAAAAAACATCACCAAATTCTTGCTCCTTAGCCAGGGGGAACAAGACCAGAGCCTGAAACTCCATGGGCTTCAGGAGCACCAGGAGCACCAAAGGCAGTGCTTGTTGGGAAAAATGCCGTGCACTTTGGGGGTATAAATTAAACAAGAGAAGAGAAATGAAGGCATTTCCTGCAATAAAAACCACAGAGAATCTCATGGTTAAAAGAAGGAAAAAAAAAAAAAAAAAAAAAAAACGAAGAAAGGAAGAAACCCAAGAATTACTTTCTTGATCTCGTTGTGCATTATGGGGGAGTTCTGTCCCTGGGCATCCTCCAAAGTGACACTGTGGTGACAACACCCAGGAGCCCAGTGATTTTGGGCATTGCAAGGGAGGCCAACAGACTGAACTTCTCTGGAAATCTCTCCATGGCCCAAAAAGGACAGGCAGGAGGGAGGGCAGCACTGGTGCAATGTGATCTCACTGAGACACTTCATGAGGTGAGGGAGCCATCAGGGTTTGAACTGGCTGCAGTGACCCAGCACTGAAATTACACTCCTTAAAAGGAATAAAATCTCAGTTATGCCAAGTATGCCACAGATTGGCCAAATTGTGTCCCTCTACTCTGCCACTCTGGTACTGATATTTGTTTGCTGGCACATACAGTTCTCATCTTCTTGGTGTTAAGTCTTTGTCAATCCATTTAACTTTGGCACTTCAGCCACTCTGCACTGTGTTAAATACATTCCAGATGCTCTTGAGAACCTGACCTGCAGAGCTGTATTGATTCAGCAATTTACATTGGTATGTTTGTCCACTGTCCTCAGCAAGGAAGGTGGTGTGAAGTTCTTGTTGTCCACTTGTTGAAATGTAGCAATGCCTTAAAACAAGAGTTACCATCAGGAAAAAAAAAGCTTATCATGTTAATAATACAGATAACATGGCTTAATTTTCAGTTAGATTTCTTTTGCAGATGTCATGTATATAAATTTTATGTGGATAACAAAGTTCTTATAACTGTTAACTTTGTTAACTAATACTACTGTCTTACATAAAGTGATAAAATAACTAATGTAACAAAATAAATGTGTATAAAATTACTTCTTCTGGCCTGTAGTAGCTTCAAAACTAAAGTACATTTTGAGTCAGACTGAAAAATGAGAAGAGCTGACAGAGAACTCAGTTCTCTCAAGAAAGGCTTGGCTTCCATGAAGGAAACCAAAACCATATCACAGAATTACTGTGCCCACAGGCTGGGAGAGAGAGAGAAATGACCTTAGATGAGAGATCACATCATGTCTGTACTTTCAGTAATTCTGACTACAGCTCCTGGAGGGGTGGGATAGTTCCACATGGTCATTCTCCACAGGCAAAGCTCTTGATTGAGGGAATTGGGAAAGCACCAACAGTTTCAATTCTCTACATTTAAATCCAAATTTGAAAATAAAAAACGTTTGAGGAAGACTGGCAAGGGGTTAAAACACAGAAGTGGGACTCATTAGTCCCCAGTACTGTCACAGATGTTTTGGGTAACTCAAATCCTTTCTTGATACTCTGGTTCTCCTCATCTAAAAGCTGAGTTTAAAGCTTCCCTAATAACAGAAGCAAGATGAGATTTCCTCTGCTGACACAAACAAAAGAAAGCTGGGAAATATCAAATAATTTTTGTGAAAGAAACCAATGGGAAGATTTTCAGGATGCATTTTGTTTCAAAGAGTGTGAAACTTTTTTTTTTAATGACTACAGCTGAGCATCTCAACCCTGACAATTTAGGGTGTTATTTTCCTCTTCCCAGCAGCAATGTTTGCTCTGCAGAACCAATGGAATACACCAGCTTGAAGGAGAAAGCCAAGTCCTTATGTTTGGTCTGCTACTACCCAGGAAACTGGTGAAATGGAGACTTTTAACTCCAAAGAGAAGGGGCAGAACTTCTGCTGTGTTTTCAGACTCGACACACACTGAAAATAAATTCTTCTGGGCTTTGAAAACAAAAGTTCCAAAGAGATGAAAGGCCCCAAAATCAAAGTCTGCAAATGATTCAGAAAGTGAGTTCGTGCCACACGCGGATGTTTCACCTGAGGGTTCTGGAGACAGTCCCTGCCTGCCCTGCTGATAACAAAACAGAAGCCAGAAATCAGCACTACACTCATTCAACACTCCTGATATTAATTCTTACAATGTACTGACAGCAAGAAACACCTGATTCTGAGATATCACCAAAATTATCTTAAAATAGTCAGAGACAGCAAACACAAACACCAATGAGAGTCTAACGTTGGTTCTGAGAAGCAGATGGGAGCTGGGTTTTAACTACACATCTCTGTTCAAACCAATCACTAATGCATCATTTATTGTGTCTCATTTGCCTAATTAAGCAAAGTTGGATTTCCCACACCATGAATCAGTGTTATAGATGTGCAGTACAGTCAGAAAGGGGAACTAAAACACTGGCTTTACCATCAAAGCATCAGGCAGAAGAGAGCTGACACAAACGAGCACACACACACTGAGTCAGCCTTCAACAGGACACACAGCTGCCCAGGTTAAAGCAGCACATTCCCAAGTGCCAGGAATGGGAAAAAATATAAACCCAGGCCAAGCCTACCTCCAGGAACAGAGCACAAACTGTGCCAGAGCCCTGTGCCTGCACAACAAAGTCTGGTATCTGTATTAGTTTGTGCCTTAGGACAGCCCTGGATATACTGGGACGTTACTGGGAACTTCTCCTTTACACATTTTGAGCCCCAGATCAGCAAAGGTCTCACCCATCTCAACTCTGCTTCGTCTCCTTTCCAGACACCCCCAATCTCAAAACGTTCCCATTTTCCTGACCCACAATCCAAACAACCCCAACACCCCCCCCCCCCCCTCTGTTCTCCCTGGAAGTGCTGATCCCAGCACTGGCTCCATCACTGTCCAAGTGCTGAAGCTGCTTTAACACTGGAGGAAATGCAGTTTTCCAAGCAGTAAATAGATGAGTTCCTCCACAATGCACCCCCAGGTGACATGTCAGTCACCCTCCTGCATGGAAAGGTGCATTATCTGGGATTGTGTCACACACTACAGGACAAAGCCACTGTGCAAAACCTTGTTATTACACCATAAAACATTCCTGTCTCCACAGACTGCTCCTCACAGCACGGGGCTGAAAGGCAGCTTGTGCAGGCCTGGGAGTCATCACTGCCCCAGAGGCTGTGCAACGGAGGGATGTGGGGGGACAGGAATTAAGAAAAAGGTTCCACAAACAGGAGCATTTTCAGTCTGTTCCAGCTTGCAAAAAAGGGCAGGATCACAGAGGCCAGAACCAACCCTCTGAGACAAACCTGGGTGAGCAGGGGCAGCGTCACCGACTCCTTTCACCTGCTTCTAGGGGAGAAAGAGCCACAATCTCACTTCCAAAGCTTTCACAAGTGTAAGAGGCTGGATGTATTCCCAGCTATCAAGAGACATTTTGAATTCACCTGGTTCCAACCTGCATCCACCAGACAGATTCACATCAGTTACTGAATCTACAGCAGCTCCTTCTCTGTGACAGAGTGGAGCAGACCTGCTGTAATTTATTTCAGGATAAATTAACAAAAGGTTAATTAAGGTTAATGTTTAGTGTTTTGGGTTAGGCAATGTAGTAAAAATGTTGAATTTGCCCTATTCAGTTTAAAATTTGGCAGCTAGTGTTTTATAGCCACTTGATTACATTTCTTTTAAAATTAGTATTTCCAATAATGGAAATCACATTGCCAATTCCATTCATTTCACCCTGCAGATGCACAGCCCAAAGCTAAACTAGTCAGTCCTGCTTTTCATTTTCCATTCCAAGTCTTACATTAAAATTTCATCATCTTGCAACATTCCTGTCTTTGCTTAAAAAAGTCTATTCATA